TTTATACCCTGAATATTCACTATACTTTTGTATTTCACCCATTACATTTTCCAGGGATTGCTTGACATTTGTCACTGTTATTATCACATCATCTGCGTATAGGGCAAGTTTGTACTCAATACCTCCCATCATTATTCCCTTTACCTTTACATTTTGTCTAATGCTCTCTGCTAAGGACTCCATACACAGGGCAAAGACCAAAGGTGATAAACTGTCCCCCTGCCTCACACCTCGGTGTAGGCTAAAGGTGTTAGACAGGTTTCCATTGACCTTGACTGCTGCTTTTGGTTCTGCATACATTATATTAAGAATTTGTATGATTTTATCATGAAAACCAAATGCCTTAAAGGTCTTAAATATAAAGTCCCATGACAGCCGATCAAAGGCTTTTTCAGCATCCAATGTTAACATTAAAGCCTGTTGTTTAGATCTGTCTACCCAATCAATAATGTTGAGAACTCTCCTCACATTGTCTGACAGGAGCCTTCCTTTTACGAACCCCGTTTGATCTTCTTTCACCAGAATTGGAACCAAGTTTGAGATTCTGCTTGCTAAGATCGATGTAAATAATTTTTGGTCCACATTTAGTAAAGAGACTGGTCGATATGAGCTGCATTTGGTGAGATCTTTACCCTCTTTCGGAAGAACACTGATGACTGAATCATTCCATGTAGCAGGCCATTCTGCCTTATCAATTATCCAATTAAACAACTTGCATAGAATTGGTGCTAACAAATCTTTGAAGGTTTTATAAAATTCATTGGTATATCCATCGCCTCCTGGACTCTTACTAAGTTTACTGTTTTGTATTGCTGTAAAAATTTCTTGAACAGAGATATATTCTAACAATTTAACATTTTGTTCTGTAGTTACTTTTTTTAAATTGAGTGACTCCAAGTATTTCTGAGTTTCTTTGTTGATATTTTCAGATTGTCCATATAGTTTCTTATAATATTCAAGGAAGCAGTTAATAATTTCATTTTCCTCAGTACAATAATTTAAATCACTTCCCTCTATTTTAGATATAATTGTTTTCTCTTTTTGTTTTCTTAGTTTAAAGGCTAACATCTTTAATGCTTTTGGACTATTGTCATAATACTGTTGCTTTGTAAGTGCAAGAGATTTTTCAATTTCATCGTAAGTTTCTTTTTTACTTGATCATCTCCCGTCTCTTCATGTTCTGTTTGTAATTGTGCTATTATTTGTCTTATTGAGTTCATCTCTTGCAGATACTTTTTCTTTTTCCAAGAAGCATATGAGATTATTTCTCCTCTTAGGGTGGCTTTAGCTGCTTCCCATAGAATAACCGGTGACATTTCCTCCTTTTCATTCTCTTGAAGTTACTTTAACAACTGAGCCACTGTCACCCAAAAAATAGCGTTAAAATCATAAGTAATCACAGTACATTAAAAAGAAAGATAAAAAATCCCTAGACACAGGGTGGTTGCGTAAATCTTGAAAGGCTTTAATAAGTATGGAATTTTGAAACACTCTTTTCCAGGCCTTGAAAAGTTCTAAATTTTGTTTGAAAGTCTTAATAAAGTGTGGGAAAAATGTGTATCCAAATCCAAAATCCAATCAACGCTTGCTTTTTTCATTTTCGTGATGTCACTGCTAAGGTCTTGGAGAAAAAGACATCAGTTTCAAGTCTGGAAAAAGTCTGGAATTTTAATTTGGAGAAAACAGCAAGCACCCTGTAAACATGGTCAGAGTATTGGGTGCAGCTCTGATTGTCAACCCAGAAAACGACTAATAAAGAGGTGAAAAACGACAACAAAATGACACCTTCTTCTCCATTAAGGGGTCATGTGGACTCAGGATATAACACCCTGTACTCTCCAAACATACTTTCATCTCTGCATATCCACAAACTGCTCAGAGAAATGCAGAGAAGAAGAAACTTTCTCCGTTCCACGTCGTGCTGTATGTTAATTCAAGTGTGAAGGTCTGTGCTTTGACAGAGCTTCCCGGGCGTCCTTAAGTGTCCTTGTTTTGTCCACTCGCCGTCACATTGAGGACACTTCTTTCCTTGTGGGCATCGGTCCTTATAGACAATAACCCAAATACTTTACCTGTCCTGTCTCTCTTCTTCTTCATCTTCCTCCTCCCCCCCCCCCCCCCCCCCCCCCCCCCCCTCCTCCTCCTCCTCCTCACTGGCCTTGCTCGTCCCTTGTGGTCAGTCTCTTAAGTGATTGCTACATTTCATCTCATGCTAAATCAGCCGGCGGCGCGGTGAGCTCTCGTTATGCAAATGACGGGCAATTCAATTTAAGATGCACAGAGAGGGGGTTTTCTAATTGGGGAATGGCCGGCTGTGGAGATGGAGAGAGGGATGAGGAGATATTGTGGTCAAAGTGAAATGGTAATGTGTTAAAAAGGTGGTTCTGTATCTAACGAGTAAAATACTATATTTTTGGTACTGAGACAAGATTGGCTGTTTTTGTTGTAATACAGTGCAATTTGAGGCTTTTTTTAGGATTATTTTTGCCTAATTCTGTGCTTTTCTAAATTTTTTATTGACAAAGAGCAAAACGTTTTGTAATTTCACCAAAGGCACAAAGTCATTTCAATAGAAAGCGTTTAATTTAATCTATCTCTAGCTGCACAATATTGGAAATTGGAGCGATATTTGATGTGTTTAGTATTGCGATAACGATATTATTGTAATTTTTTTGTCTTTCACCTAAAATCGCAATCTGCTTTGAAACGCACCGAAAAAATAAGCACATTATTGACATTCAAATGCATATTTTTAGATAATTTTTTGTTGTTGTTGAATGTTGATGTGTCTGTCTGTTTTGTTGTTTTAAACTTATTTCCTGCCAGCCGTTTTTGATCATTTCACTGATTCTCAAGACCCACAGATTATTATTTCCTAAGACTATGTGAAAAATGAAACCAGATTCTAAAAGACTGGATTGTTTACTTTGATCAGCAAAAATAAGTTTGTTTCTAGCTGTTTTTATTGTCCTGTAATCCCCCGTCGAAAAGAGGGTCTCAGACAAATATGTCAATGGCAGTCAATGAGTTAATAAAGCAAAAAATATATATATTATTGCGCACATTATCGATATGGATATTGCACGTACCTATTTAACAGTGAACATAATTCTGCCGTGTCATTTATAATCTAAATTCATCAACAGCCTTTGCACAGACGAAGCACTGGTCGATGATTCAGAAGCTGAGGTATAAGTCACTGTTTTCACACAGGTCTAATGTAAACCGCTGCTTTCTTCTGACTCATTGAGGTCTTTCTCACACATCGCCAACACATTACTTTCTCATAATAGGACATGTTATATCGAGTACAAGCCACACATGAGCGAAAAGACGGTTCAGTGCTTTCTGCATAATTCAGAATCAAATTTCAGAATCAAATTTCTTCTTAAACATGTAGTTGGGAAATCCAGTGAGTCCATTCTTCTTGATTTAGGTGTTGTGTAAAGGTTTTGATTTCTAGTCTAAACAGAGAAAAAGGCAAATGAGAAAAGACAGTTCCTTTTGCTTCAAACTTTAGGGCCTTGTTGCTGGTTGTGTACATTAAACAGACAATCCCTGAAGATTGTCTGTCTGTCATAAAAAGTGAAATATGAAACACACAAAAATTCTCACTCTGTTATTACTGCTGCAAACCACAGTAACTACATTTTCCCAACACTTCTGTGATAATATCCTTCAATAACAGTGACACACACACACACACACACACGCACACACCAAAATGCATTAACTCCGCCCCCTCCTTTCTCTACTTCCTTTTATTCCTTATCTATATGAATTTCATGTATCAATAACTGTTGGATAGAAGCATTTTTAAGGGTCAATAATTATAGTACATGTGTGTCAATGCTGAGGGGGTGTTCTGGACCAGTCTAGTTTAGTCGCTGTGAATTTTTGAAGTCACTCGTTTAAATGAATAGGGCTCGTGCAGCTGACGCATGAGCAGATGTGTTTTTTCACATTTTCCAGGCCCCGCGGCCATTTTGAATCACTCCATGAAAGCCCAATTTTTGACCCATTAGTTAGAACGACAGAAATAGGTGTGACTACCGTTAATATATACAGTCTATGGAATTAAGTCAAAGCAATTACGACATGGTCAACATTTTTTCCGTCTTTTAAGAACGACTGAAATGGTGATTGATGCACTAAAAAAAGCCTTTGGTTCATAATGAAAAATGTGATGAAGTCAATGTCATAGCAAAACTTACTGTACATAATCCTCAAGTGGCATTTTCTCTTCATTGTAGTTAATAGTTTGCATGTTATCTCTCCTTTAAGTTACTTTGAAATGATCACAGAACTCTCTCTTTTTTTTCTATCAGTCCTTTTTTTTTTATTCATGGTTTTGTTGAAATGTCCTTATCCATCCATATTGGACGTGGGTGTTCTCAACCTTTCCATGACTTTGCACGCGCTCAGATCTGAACATGTTTGAGGTGTTTTTTTTTGTGTTGAGCGAATACATGGAGTACATTCACACAGTGGGCTCTGACAAACACTGGATCGAGCTTAGATCAGCAGCTCCCCCCGCCCCTGTCACAGATTCTGTCAGCACAACCCAAGAATCACAATTGGACACTTTGCTCGACGTTAATTCAAAGCTCCGTAACGATGCTCTATGAAGCCGCTACCGAGCGCCTGGAGTCAGCAAATGTGGTTTCTTCTCTCTCCTGCAGCTGTGTCACTGTGAGGACTGAATGTTGTGTGTGGATGCAACGTTAAAGAAGCAATAAGTAAGATTTTCATGTCCAGTCATCATTAAAGGCCCTAATCTGTCATAATAATAAAACATGGTCTTTTCCAATAACAGGTCTTTATCTGATAACAGTAGTTCAGAGATATTTGAATTTCTAAATTAGTTTTACAGCCCCTAAGTCTTGTTATTGTTTTCATTTCCATGTCCCGCCCTCCACCGTTTCACCAATCAGAAAGTCTTATGATTTTTATCTATTTGAAGATAGAATATACGATAATTACTCCTGTTATTATTATCATCATTGTTCATTAATGTTCGACCCCTTTGTTAGTCCATTTCTGGGTCGGGGGGATCCTCTGCAGGTGGTGGGGTCTTCGTCTTCGTCGTCGTCTTCTTCTTCGTCTTCTTCTTCGTCTTCGTCTTCTTCTTCTTCTTCGTCTTCGTCTTCTTCTTCTTCTTCGTCTTCTTCTTCGTCTTCGTCTTCTTCTTTGTCTTCGTCTTCTTCGTCTTCGTCGTCTTCGTCTTCTTCGTCTTCGTCTTCTTCGTCTTCTTCTTCGTCTTCTTCGTCTTCGTCTTCTTCTTCGTCTTCGTCTTCTTCGTCTTCTTCGTCTTCGTCTTCTTCGTCTTCGTCTTCTTCTTCGTCGTCGTCTTCGTCTTCTTCTTCTTCTTCTTCTTCTTCTTCGTCTTCGTCTTCTTCTTCGTCTTCTTCGTCTTCGTCTTCTTCTTTGTCTTCGTCTTCGTCTTCTTCTTCTTCGTCTTCTTCGTCTTCGTCTTCTTCGTCTTCGTCTTCTTCGTCTTCGTCTTCTTCGTCTTCGTCTTCTTCGTCTTCGTCTTCTTCGTCTTCTTCTTCTTCTTCTTCTTCGTCTTCTTCGTCTTCGTCTTCTTCTTCGTCTTCGTCGTCTTCGTCGTCTTCGTCTTCTTTGTCTTCGTCTTCTTCTTCTTCTTCGTCTTCTTCGTCTTCGTCTTCTTTGTCGTCGTCGTCGTCATCGTCTTCTTCGTCTTCGTCGTCTTCTTCTTTGTCTTCTTCTTCTTCTTCTTCTTCGTCTTCTTCTTCTCCCTTAATTCTTGCAGAATAAAGAATGTTATGGAAGTTAAATTTCCTCCACAGCTTTTTTGATGTTTTTACTAAAATACAAACTATAATCTGTGCTGCTTACATTTATTTTGCTCAGCCGAACCTAATTTCTCAGCAGACACTGTTTGAGCCAAAAATGTTGAAAATCATATCCATTCCAATGTAATCAGAACAGACCCAGGACTTTATATTTTGTAACGTCGGCGTTGAACATTGAAACATATTTTGACAGGCCTTGTTCAGAGTGTGATGGTGCCACAGAGACCCTGGTGTATCTCAGACTCTGTCAGGCTCAGAGCTGTGGCGGCAGCAGAGAGACGCTGACGAGCCCCGAGCTGCACGGAACAACACCGGCTGCAAGAAACAATACTTTTATAACTTTTCTATTGGATTGAATAACTATAAACTCAAGCATAACATGTAGGAACCGGGAAAGTCTGGAGAACTTTCCTTCCCCTCACTTTTAAGGTGTCAAGTGTCATCCCGTCAAAGGCAGACATCGGATGATCTATGACATCATTGGGAGCTGAAGTCTGGTATAGGAACTTGGTTTTATTCTTCAAATTCATATTTTCATTTTTAGATTAAGGAGAAACTTCAAGACAAGGATCATTCTGTGTTGCTGAGTTCAACTGGCCTCGCACCAAACTACATTAGTGCCATATAATAATAAGAATACATTTTATATTTTAGGCGCCTTTCTTGACGCTCAGGTTGTCTTACATACAAGTAAAAAAGTGAATTTTAAAAACAGTTAAAATACAAAGTTAAAAGCATCATGCGGACAGAGGAGAGTGTGGTTATGTTAGTGAGTGGGCTTGTCTAAACAGATGAGTTTTAAGGTGGATTTGAAGAGTATGAGCGGCTGAAGGCTCTACTCCCAGTTTAAAGACTGTTCTGTTTGCCTGTGCGTTCAACTGAAGGATTCCATCTCTGTTTTTAATGTTAACCCTAACCCTAGCTAACATACTGCTGCTAACTTACAGATGCTAACATGTAACTACACATTGCTTGCACTAAAATACACAGTACTTTAGACTTTCCTCTTGTTTTGCCACTAACATTATTATTATTCTCAAGATAGAGATTATATACTTGTAATTGATGCTAGAGTCAGAGGTGGTACAACTTGTTTGTCTGGTCGTATGTGTATGTAACATGTAGAACACAATAAGAAAACAGTTTGTCTGACTGTGAACTGGGCTGATAGAGTTTCCTGCTAAGCCAGAGCGGGCCTTGCATTCCTCCGGCTGCTCGGTGCAGTTGGATGTGGACATGGCTTCAGCTAATCTGGGAAGAATGTACGCTTCAGACGCACATGTGTTCCATTAAGTCCAGATCTGCGTAAATAATATAACATGCTAGGGCTAACGTTACAGGTAATAGTACCCCACAGCTGTGCCCCCGGCTTTACAGTGCCTCTCGCTCAT